AGTTACAATCCCAGGAAAATGCCCTCAAACAGCACAGATATTTCTGCAAACCAGAGCAGGCTGTCTGCCCTTCTTGGCAATGCTCTGAGGTGCTTCAATGAACTCCTAGAGCATTAAGACTTCATTACTGTCACAAAACATACACAGTATTATTTTCTAATATGCTATAAACTAATAGCTGTCAATTAAACAAATACTCTCATGTCTTCCTTTTAAAGTATTCTTTTGCTTTATCACTAACTTGCACAATAAGATAATTTCATATTACTTTCCTAGCTCTGAGCATGAATTAGCTCTGTGCTACTGTCGCTGGCTCTGACCAGCCATTTTATCTTTTTTTCTGGCTCATAACCCAGGCCTATAGAATGTGTGGCAAGTAAATTCATGCTGATTAACATAATTTCAAACAAATTGCTCAAATAAATAGAGTTGCATCTTTTTAAGATAGCCATTTCCTTAGGGAAACTTGGGAAATACTTCCTTGGGAAAATGTTCTCTTTAAAGCAGAGCACATTTGGCAATGGCGCTCTTTAGATGTCAGGTATCATCTAAAGTAATGCAGAACAGATTTCTTCTAAAAATATGCCACTTAAAAAAATTATGCCACAAATGCTGATGGCTGTGCTGAAAATGCATCAAAGCAAAACAGCACAAAGAAATGGAGGAACAAATGCCATCTGCTAATGACCACACTCTCATTTCAGAAGGGCTTGGGAATGTGATGCTTTACGGAGTGTGGCTCTGAGGGCAGAACTCAACTGGCACACTGGAAAAGTAACCCTGTAATTAAAAAGAAACAACTGAGAAATAGAGTAGTATTGCATCACATGTCATTTCAGATGTACTCCAAGAGAGATATCAGCCTAAAAAGGAATATATTAAAGAAAGTCAGTCAAATAATTAGTAAGGAAACTTGGCATGCAAAATTGGCGAGATGGAGCACTCAAATATTCTCCTTCTGTGTTGGTTGTCATTAAATGTTATCGTGAAGGTGTAACAATACAAGAATTGTATCAACAGCAGAACTACAGAAATTTATCTTAGCAGAAAATTGTTCCTATGCAGCTGAATAATTAGTTTCACTTAAGTCACTCAGCCTGCTACCACCGTCTGCATCCCCTTTTGTCTACTGCTTGTTAAATTCCTGTTCAGCCATCACTCAGATAGGATTGTATAATAAACAAAATAATTAGTTTCCAAACTCATAATACACTGTAACATATTTCCTGGAACATGTTTGGGTTTTTTTTAATAACTGCTATTTTGCATTCTCTCACAATTGAGAACTCAGCTTACACGTACCGGAGAATCTGAAGATGGTATAATTTACCCTGAATCCAACAGATGAAACTAAAACCATGCTCATTTAGGAGAACTAAGTGAACACATTCTGATGCATGTACCAGAATGTCTGCACCAGCCAAGTCAGCACACACATATTGACAAGCATCACAGACAAATCATGTATGGATGGAGCACATTCCCTTTTGGACTTCTTAAATAAGGACCAAAGGGTAACTCCGTTCACCAGGGCAGTATCAGCAGCAAGACACTGCAGGGCAGACTGGCACCCTCTGCTCCACACCAGCACTGGCATACACTGGTAGCACTGAAAATGAGACGTGTGTCAGCTTGGGCCTTTAAAACAATAAAACAGCACAATCTTTTTAGTCTTAAAAGTACACATGGAGCTCACAAACATGAGATGCTCACAGGACTAACCTTGCAGTCTGTGTCACCAAACAGATCCCCAAACTTGCAGGAAGTCAATTTGAATACCTTTTCTTTTTCCTGCTACAAAACTCGAAATCCTTGTGAAATCTGAAGTGACTGTTTAATTCTCCACTGGTGATGAAGACACAATAACAAGAGGTGAACTCACAACTTGGAAGCGTTCATCGCCAAGTACAGGTGAACCACATGCTAACCGCAGGGAGGAGGAGCATGGGAAGGCATTTCTGGGTCCTGGGTCCTGCGCAGGACAACACTGGGTACTGAAAGAAGCAAACAGGCTGCACACTTACCTCTGGCTTTCAGCACAAGCTAGAATGTCAGACTGCACAGAGGAATTCAGTTGAAGACACTGGCACCATCAGTTTACAATGGCTCACAGCTACACACACCTCTTTGGCAGTAGGTAGAAAGCAGCTGATTACAGACTCGGGACAGGTGTTTCCCAAGCCTGGGTCTCTACTGGTGAAGCTGAGAGAGGTGTTCTGTCAGCTCAGCCGGTAGAGAGAGCTGCCCCGAGTGAGTAATGGTCCCTGTGCTGCCCTGTGAGACAGGGTGCAAGGTGTACACCTCTACTTGAGGCACCTTCACCACCCCATCCCCAATGATCCCCCCAGCTGCCACCTCCTTTAAGGGTAAAAAAAGAACAATTTTGACATGACTCCTCTGAAATGCTCTATAAATGAAGCCATGCTCATAGAAACAATTAACCAGAGAATGGGATGAGATGATGAGGGCAACTCAGGGTTCTGATAGGAGGAAAGAGAGGAGGGAGAGGTCAGTGATTGTTGGGGCTGTTAGTGCCTGGAGGGCAGCACTAGTGCTCACCTTCTCAGGAGGGCAGCAGGGCCCCTGTGGGGCTGGGGATGCCTGACCTGGGCATTAGTGGCTGTCGATGGGGGTGTGTGTGCTCTGAAAGGCATCTCCCCATCTGCTGCAACACCACAGCATTGCAGCCTGCGGCACTCAGTGCCTACAAAACGCTACCTGGAAAGAAAGCCACCTTCATAACAAAAAACCCCTTTGATTTACATCTCTGGAAAGAACAGCTAACCCCTTGCCTGCCTCCCCTAGTCTAGTCTTCGGTGGGAGGGTTTTTCTGACCCACATTCTCTTCCCTGGGGACTTCTGCCGTGCCCCTGAGAGGCAACGTCTGCAGCTCAAACAAACAAGCAGTCCTTCATCACAGCATGTTATGACAAACTGCAGAAAGACAGTGCTTTGTGATTTATGGATTAAACCAGCAAGGCACACATTGTGTTTGCGCCCCTTCCCTCTTCACTGGATACCAAACCATGCTACCACAGCAGACCTAAATCCGCCCCCTTAACATTACCTGACCAGAACCAAGGGATGGCATTGCTCTTTGTAAAAGGTCTTCCAGCACAAGTAAAAAATAGAATGGCCCTGCCCTAATTGTGACCATTTTAAAATCCTTTTATGTTTTCTGAGGATTGAAAGTGTTAGTTGGCTAGGTTTAATTCAATGAACTCAAAGCAATGGAGCTCATTGAAGCTGCTTTGTACAAAGCGTTTTCTTTCACGGAGGCAGCATGAGACAATGAGGTGCTGGATCTCAGGAGAATGTTAAACATTTAATATACTGGCATGTATAACATTATATATAAATGTTATGTGAAGGATGAGCAGCAGAGCTAGAAAGCATAAAAAGGCTCATGCTCATCTTCAGGCTGCTGCTGAGCACTGCAGACCTCCACTTATTGATCAAACCTGAGTTCGAGAGCTTCTCCTTCCTTTATTATTACACAGTGGTTTGTGCTAACATCAGAGATGAGTAGCTGAGCAATTTGCTACGTAGCCAACTGTAAGCAACTCTTATTAATAGAATGCAGCAGTAATTTGCAGTAATTGTCCGAAACTGCAGTTTACTGAAAATACTGTCATTATTGATTTTGCACCAAAGCTGGAGCATTTTTATAAGACAGATTAGGAGTTACTGTTCCTAAGGAACTGGTTTTACTAGCTGTAGGAGAGTGTCACTATGAAAATTAATCTCAGCGCTTTTCAGTATAACAGGGTATTTGAAATTAATTTACCTGTAATTCCTGCACCCAAGGTGACCAATTGTACCCAACCTATTCTAGCTACAGCTTCTCCGCACCAGGCTAAAGACCACAGAAATTACCAGTGTTAAGGCTGGCAATATGAAAGCACACTGGTTTTGTAATACAGGAGCTCAAGAAAGCAACTTTGAAAGTGTCACTACCCTACAGGCTGCCTGGAAGACTGGGGGAAGCCTGGGCTCAGCACAAAGCAGTGACAGGTTTGCCACTGCTGTCGCTGGAGCTGGGATTTTAATCCATGCCTGTATGAAAAGCACAGCAAACACAGATGCAGTGCTCCTGCACAGGTGTGCGCAGAAGACTCGTCAGTGGTCTACCAAAGGTGACGTGTTAATAGTCTAAGCAAAACTACCAAAGCCTCTTTCCTCGAGATTCATTTCCAGTTCTGTGCATCAACACACTTCCCTGCAGCAAGCAACATACCTTTCAGTTTCACCTACTGCAAGCTCCAGCTCCTTACACTTTACCATCACTGCTACTATTTTACCATTAACAGGTAACTGCCATCTATCTCTGTGTAACATGTCTTGCTACGATTGTCTTTTCTCTCAACCCCACACTACGAATAGATGAGCAGCCACTCTTTCCTTTCCTGAGCTACAGGCCCATACATGCAGCTCTCCTCCAGAGACGAGGCTTCTTCCCAGGACCTCTGGTGGCACCAGTTCAGCCCAGCAAAGCGGCATGGGCTGGTACTGGTTTCCTTGAGCCCTCCCTAACGAAGGAGAAGAAAGCCCTCACCTCCGTGTCCGTGCTGGCAAAAAAAAAGCCTCTCAAAAACCACCCTGCATCACAGCTAAAGCACGGGGAAGGACTGAAGCCTTCTCCTCAGGGCTGAGTATGGCAGCCAGATGTAAATGCCATACTAAGCCTAAGGTTCCTTGTACAGTTACAAGTACTGATTTGCTCTGCGTAGGTCCCACCAAGACTAGACTTTCTATCTGTTAGTTAAATAAGGTTTCCAAGCTTGACCAAGCCTGCTGATGATATTAAATAAGACCGTTTCTTTGAAAGAGCTACTGGCCGAGCAAATGGTTTTTCTTCCCCACCAGAATTATTCAAATGGTTTTAACGTACATTCTTTTTTGTGATTTTTGATTTTTTTTTTTGTCCTTGAGAAGTGAAATAACAGCCTTGCCGATTACTCTTTGCTAAGGTACCCGATTGTGGTGACATTGAGGCTGACCTTGGAGTCACCTCCCCCGCTGCCGCACTCTCCTTTGTCGTACCACCATTTGTTTTTCAATTTGTCCAAGAGGCCTTGCTCATTCAGTTTTAATACTGCCAGGTTAACAGCATTTCTTGAAACGATAAAACATAGCTTGTAAGAAAAAATGCACAAATGCTTAGGAAATCGTAACGTATAAAAAAAGGAGCACAAGAGGACAAATTGGCTAAAATTTCACAGAACGTGGAGCTATCAAAATGTCTGTACAGCAAATACAGGGTTAAATATTGGAAGGTGGCATGGAGGATAACATCTGCTCAAAACTGAAGTGTGCGGGATGGGGAAATCGTCTTTGAGAAAAAAAGTAACAAGAACACCACATCATGCAGTTAACATTCGTCACATATGGCAGGTTAACTCGGCTTTTACCATTTAAATTGAAAAAGCCATTGAACTGTAAAATTAAAACAGCAACAAACAATCAGAGAGGACAACACGAAGAGAACACTAAAAAAAAATGGATGCATTAAATAAACAAAACCGTAATTTACCGTCTTATTTAACTCCATGGAATATTGAAGATTTGAAACTTTAAAGTTACCTCAAAATCCACAAGAAAGAAAATGACAACACAATACATCAGGGTAGGTGGAATACTATAACAACATGGATATTGTTATATTATTCCACCCACCTTAATGCTGAGCCTTTGGGGGTTGCTACACCATAGCCCTTGGAATCCAGGTTGCCGCCAACTTTCATGGTGTCGCAGGGCTTGCGCTGCTCGATGTATTCGTTCATCGTGGACTCCAGCAGGAAGGCAAACTTCCCCTTTGACTTCCGCACCCTCGCCACCCCGTCCGCCGTCGTCTTGGTGAACACGGAAGGCTCGGCTGACTTCATGTACGACCACATCTTCTCGTAGACGGCTATTTTTGACCTCTGGGAGAGATGAAAGGAGGGAAATGGAAGAGCCATGTTGGGATGGGCACAAGGCTGAGCTCCTTGATCTTAGCTCAGCGGTATAATTAACACCCTATACCTGATTGACAAATAAAGAAGTCAAGGTAGCTTGGGGAGAGACACGTTGCCCCTGAACAACGACCAAGCCATAAAATGGTTGGGGAGGGGAAAACATCCCTCAGACATTTATTTTACTAATTGCCATGTAACTGGCAGTCAGAATGAGAAACAGCGTGTGCCCATCCCAGTGCCTCAGTTCCTGCTCTGCGGTGGGTTTAACTGCCTGCATGCTGCTCTGCTACTGAACCAGAGGGAGCTCGTTACATCCTAGCTCATTCATCACAGCCAAGAGATGCAGAAGAAGCCTCTCCTCTCCACAGCAATCCTCAGCACTGGTTTTTGTGCTAACCTGCAGCTAGAAAACACCGACATTTGCTTATTACAAGTTCCCAGCAAGGAGTCCGCTTTTCACAGCAGTGATGGCAGGTCTATGATACAGAAGACCAGGACAGCTCTCATGGCTTCTAAAAGTGATGCCCATATAACAGATACAAATAGTAATTACAAAAGCTTTTATGAAGCAAAACTTTCAAAATTCAGTTTCACATTTTCCTAAGACAAGAAACACAAATATTAGTAATAAGCTGAAGAAAACTTCCTGTTAACTGCATGCATGTCATGTAGATATATCTGTTTTCTCCCATTTTCCTCATTTTGAGACTGAGCCAATCCTAACATCCTCTAGCTCAGCATACGGGTTTTGTAAACCTGGCAATGTTGAGAAATGTGTTACTTCCCCTTCTCCCTCTTCCCAACCAGTAACATTTAAACCGCCCTCAGCTCTTAAAGCCACCTCCAGACTCTTAAGGATTTGTATCCTGGACTACCAGTTAAACTTTTCTGCTTGGTCGACAGAAGGCTGTAATGCCAACTGCCTAAAGTCTAGAAATTCAAAGGATTTATATAAGGCTTTTGGTCCAAGCTGTGGGTATCTGGAATTTATGCCTCCTACTCCTTGCTAGTTTCCTGTCCACAGTTTTCCTTGCAGAATGGGAATGAGGCAGGCAGTAGCTAAATCTAGTTTGAATTTAACTAACTTGTGGCAGAAGACCGTTAATGTCCATCAGCTTGATGATTGAGACACGTTTCCTCCTTATTCTGGACAATTTAATGTGTTTTGAATAATGCAGTGCTTAACAACCAGCCTCCAAACATTGCACCAGGAGTAAGCCCTGCCTTCACCCTTCTTCAGATTAACACGCTCAGCTAGTGTTGCTATGATGGATGGAGAGTAGCACAGAGGGCAAGATTTTATTTTAATTACCCTTCTTGATGAGCTGAAAAACAAGTGAAAATGCAAACCAATTAAAATCAACCCAATCAACAATAGGAAATCAGAGAGACAACAGTGCAGCACAGCTTCGTTAGGAGCTGGCTGGGTGGTGGGTGTGAAAAACAAGCAACAGGGATTTTGACTGAGAGCACTGTTTGGCCAAAGATGGGCTGTACGACTACATTTGTCCAGCATCTGGAGTTAAGAAGTGGTGAGAGAAAGTGGGATATAAATGGGGCCTGAAACGGTCCTTACACTGGTAAAACCCTGTTTTGGTGGGCAGTGTTGTTGCTCACTGCTTCCACCAGCCTTGGGCCATTGGGTTTGGGCAGAGGCAGCTCTGAGTCCCAAGGTACAAATACAGTTTTACTCTATCTCTCAGCAAGCTAAAGTGGTTAGCATTCAAAAACTGTGCATTCATTATCTATGCTTTCGCTTGTTTTCCTCTGCAGACCATGCCTTTAATTATACAGATAAACCAGAATTTCTTTTCATCTCCTAACTCTTACCGGAATGTCTATCTTTAGCAAGTTCTTTCATACCCTTTTCCAGTTGGCCAGACTACCTAAAAGCAATTGCCAATACAACTGTGCATTGTTAATAATAACAGTTATCTGATGAGTGCCAACAGCATGCTCTGGGCTCCAAATGGTCCAAACAAAGCACACTCCCTGCTTCAAGGGCAAAGTGTGAATATCATCATTCATGCTTCAAAAAACCAAATTCCACAACTCAAAACCAGATTTCTTTTCAGCTTTAATAAGCAGCCTAAGCTTTATAGTTTGTTCCCTTCACTTACCTCTTTTGGATGATGTAGCTAATAAAACAGTACATTTCTATGTGATCATTGCCCACCTCATATTCTGCCAAATGGGATTTTCGTTGTATCTTGTTATTATCAAATTAACTGAATGAGTATAGTGGTCTGATCTAGTAGAAGTAAACAAAAATGCAGGCTGGAAATGAACACAGCAGGTATTGACTGGGAAAGGTCAAAATAAGATGCACGGAGTACATGTTGGTTTTGGAGCAGCCAGAGCCTGGCTGGGGGAGTTTGGATGAGGATCCATGGGTGTCCCTGGCGTGGGGACCAGGGAGGCAATGGGCTCTGGCCACTGAGTCCTGCTTGGTCAGGTCTCTGCAGCCATTCCTCTAAATCCATGAGGCCAAAATAATGATTTATGATGAAGCTTCTTAGAGAAAGGGACAGGGGCACCAGAGGAGCTGTGAAACCTGCAAACCTCCTCAGAAATGCTGTATTTTACACCTGCAAAATGACATGAAACAGCTTGACTAAAGATGATCAAAGATGGAATAAGATGAAATGAAAGACAGTATTTTGGGTAAATATTTTCCTTTTTCCAATTTTCCAATTGTCTCCAAAGAAAAAACAGACCAAAAAACCCAGAAGCCCCTAGAAGACTTTCAGAAAAGGAAAATTTCTTTTCTTTCTTAAGTGTAAAGGTGCAAATCCTGTGCTGAAAGAACATTATCACCCATCTGTCCTCCTCTGCAGACATTCCTGCCTGCGAGTCCCTCCAGGAGTCTGACACCTGCAAGAGGGGCCAGACAGGAGCAACCAGAGAGAAAGGATTTACACTCTGAAATAAGGTAAGGTCTGACAGATCTGCTAGAGTTCAGTGGCAGTAAAACATTTTCCCTCTCATTAAAGTGTTACTTCTAAAGAGATATTTGGAAAAAAAGCTTAAAAGCAGAGATTTAAACCAATTCAAAGCCCATAACCGCAGTAACTCCCTATGCTCTGCAACTCCTATTTCATTTCTTTGATATTGCTCTCAAGAAGTCTGCCACACACATTTCCTCAGGATTTCAAGGGGATATTATTATCACTTTTTTTTCTTAAAAGCAACATTTTTAGTGTTTCATCCAGGCCCTGGGACACATTAAAGCGTCTTTTCATTATCGCAGCCTTACTGTAGATATAAATAGAGCTGGCCTTTGCTTTGTTGATAATGCTGGCTTTTTCTTTATGTGGAGATACTTATGCAGAAGTATGAGCCACACACACCTCAGCACCTCCTCATTCTGAGGAGTCACTTCATGTTACTCATTGGTACCTCAATGCACACGGCTTCGGGATAGCAGTGTATTCAGTCTAAAAGAAAGTGCCAATTCAATTAGTCCACAATTTTAACACTGTCTGTCGTTCCCATTCTCCTAGTTTTGGTGTGTGTTTGGCTCCAGTACTGAAATGGAAAACCAAACAAACCCACAACATGCTGCAGCATCAAGAAGCGCAGGTGGGCAGGGTGCGTGTGCAGTAGGCAGCGGGAATGAGGCAGCTTTACCTCTCAGCTGCAGTTATTTCTTCAATCCATTCAACAATAAAACCCCAGCAACGAGGATCCAGCTGAGTGGGACCAGATGCCTTAGGTTCACTTTTGCACATCCCAAACTGCCTACAGATATATTGCACATCTTGGATGATTCCTTGACATTGGTTAAATCCAGCTCTAAAATATCTTTGTGACAAGCCTTCTCCCACTGACCGAATTACCTTTCCCCCTCTGCAGGCAGTTGTCTCACACTTCTGTGAAAGTGACATTGTGTCACCTCCTCCATTACCGGGTAGCAGAGAAGCTGTCCTATTTGAAAGAAACAGCATTTTTCCCTCTCTAGTTACAGTATGTTACAGGGATGCCCTTTGCCTGTTTTAGAATGTTTTGCCATCTCTGCCACTTTCTCTGCAACCTGCAGGTCTTCTTCAAAATGCCCATCTCGTGCACCCTGCTGGGATATTTTATTAAAGTGACCAAAATGCTCCTTTGTTTCTTATAACAGGCACCAGGAAATTAACTCTCAGCAGTCAAGTTCAAAATGATCTTATAGGTGACTGTTGTTGACCATGCAGTCATGAGCCAAACGCACCCAAATCAATTTTACTTTTAAAATTAATTTATGTATCCTCCCTTTACTCTGTATGTTTAAAATTTTAGACTACACTGATCTTAATTTTCTTATCTCTGTCTTCAAAATTAAGTGATAGATAAGCTTAAATAAAAGTGATAAATAAGCTTAAACAAAACAGGGAGGTGAGAAAGAGATAAAGTCCCCCCAGTAATCCAAGAGGTAGGCTATAAGGAACAATATCAGTGTAAGAAATGGAACAGGTGTACTGGAGAGGGAGAAGATCCAGAAGGAAGCCAGCTACAGCTGCCTGGTCTTAGGGCTGTGTCCAGGCTACATAAACTTTAATACACTTTGAAGTTGGCCAGCATACACTGAAATGCAGTAAATCCAACAGGGAAGTGCAGCAAATGGGAGTGAGACAAGTGCAAAGTGGATGGAGCATCCTGACCACAGCATGCACACAAAGGTTGGAAGAGACATCAACAAAGGGCCTAAAGCAGCAAAGGTAACACATTCGTCTGCTACATCAGCCCTGTGATCACTTTACAGCTCTTTAACTAGGGAAATTTATAGCTCTAAGTCAGACAGATGTTGCTGATACAAAACACAAAGGTCTGCACTAAAAACAGTGCAGGTATTTAATCTGCATAATACATGCTGCCTTTATATACTTGCACACCTCACTGATATGAACTTGGGTAGTTAAGTGTGAACCCTAGCTTCATTATCATCACTCACTGTTTTTCTTCCACATGTGCAATTAGCTCTCCTACAG